TTCGTCAGTCACGACTGACGTAACATCGAACGTGACTGACTGAAAGGGAACTGAAAATTCAGTCATTTAGTCACTATCACGTCCTTTCAAACCTGTATGACTTTGTCTTTCCTGTGAAACAAAAAAAAATTATATTTTTAAATAATCTTCACACAGCTCTTTTCCATTCAAAAAAGTGATCAAACAAGCTAAAAAAAATGTAACTAGTCATTTAAATACTACAAACTAGCAAAAAGGATAAATTTTTAATTTGATGTTTAAAAAAACATAATAATAAATATTAAATATATATACTATTGTTCAAAGATTCGGGGTCAGTAAGACTTTATTTTAAAGAAATTAATGCATTGCTCAAAAATCACAGTAAAGACATTATAAATGTTACAAAAATATATATATTTCAAATAAATGCTGTTCTTTGGAAATTTCTATTCATCACAGAATCCTGAAAAAAGTATCACAGTTTCGACAAAAATATTAAGCACAACAGTTTTCAACATAAATATTAATAAGAAATATTTCTTGAGCTTCGAATCAGCATATTAGAATGATTTCTGAAGAATCATATGCCACTGAAGACTGGGGTAATGATGCTGAAATTTCAGCTTTGCCAACACTGGAATAAATTGCATTTAAATCAAATATAAAACATTGTAGTAATCATTACTGATTTTGCTGTATTTTTGATGAAATTATAAAAAAAAACATTGAATGGTAATGTCTATAAAAATTAACATAAAAATGTATGTCGAGAAGTCCTGCAGACAGCTGTAACAAATTCTACTTGCAATGATATTGCTAAATGAATTAGTAACATACCCACTGGACTTTATAAAGAAAGAATGAATAAAGATTCAACCTATTTTATGGCCTAATAGACTCTTTGTTGTCTGTCAGACTACATAGAGAACAATGTGTGGTTGTGAACCTGTTTGTGATTGTTGGAGCAATTGTGTGACAGGTATGACGGCACACGAATGGAGACCAACATGGTGATCATTAACGTCAGGTTCCTGTCTGGGTTTAAGCCGGATGAGACGTCTCTGCAGGCTGTGAGTGACACTTGAAGGGCTCTGGTCCTCTTTTGATCTCAAGTTGTATAGCCAGCGTTTGATTCGTTCTCACTCGCTCCTCTGTCTCCACAGCTGAGGGAAGACCCCACCATCAAACGTGTGGATCTGGATGAGGATCGTGTCATTTTCTATTTGGATAGTGTAAATGTTTTATTCAAATTTATTTTGTTTTATTCAAATACCTTGAGGGGTTCAACTTATTTTTGGGACGGGTCACTGATATTCTGACAATAAAACTGACCTGGTTTACTTAAACAAGAAGCTGAAAAATGAAATTTGACTGAAAATGTACTCACTCTCCAGCCAACCAAGATGTAGATGAGTTTGTATCTTCATCGGAACAGATTTAGAGAAATGTAGCATTAAATCACTTGCTCACCAATGGATCCTCTGCAGTGAATGGGTGCCGTCAGAATGAGAGTCCAAACAGCTGATAAAAACATCACAATAATCCACAAGTAATCCACACGACTCCAGTCCATCAATTAATGTTTTGTGAAGTGAAAAGGTGCATGTTTGTAAAAAAACAAATGCATCAAGGCATAACTTTAAATGGTCTCTTCTGGCCAAAATGCAAGTCCATAATCCATAATAACCCTTCCTCCAATGAAAAAAATCCATCCCCCGTTGTCCTCTCACATTAAAATCCAATGACATATTTGTTTAGAACTTTTTTCACTTTTAAATAGTTCTTGATTTGTGGATTTTAGCCAGAAACAAAAGTTAAAAATGTCTTGATGAATTTATTACAAACAATAAGCTTTTTACTTCACAAGACATTGATGGACTAGAGACTAGAGTACTGTGATGTTTTTATCACTGTTTGGATCCACATTCTGACGGCACCCATTCACCACAGATGATCCATTGATGAGCAAGTGAAGTAATGCTACATTTCCCCAAAACTGTTCCTATGAAAGAACAAACTCATTTACATCTTGGATAACACAAGAGTGAGTCAATTTGAAGCTAATTTTCATTTTTGGGTGAACTATTTCTTTAACACATTCATACCCTAGAGAAAATAAATCTCTCCGTAATCATAATGTAATAACTTTCTCTTCTATTCCAGTTGAAAAAGAATCAGGTGAAGTCCATCAGCCTGCAGCTCGTGCAGGAAGTACAGGTGCAGAACCTGAAACCAGCTGTAGTGATCGTCTATGACTACTACAAGATCAGTATGTGTTTCTTCATCACTGTGTACTCTGAAAAGTCTGAAAGAAAATACAATATAGGGATTTTATTATAAACCCAGCAAAATATAATAAATAAATTATAACAAAAAATGGGAAAACCTATTTCCATTTTAATGTTTAAGAATTTCATTTTTTTTTATAAATCTTAGTGACATCATGATATAAAGGTTGCATAATTGTGATTTACGAGCCTGTATTTAATCTTTCCATAATGCATTTTCATTTTATTGAGACGAGCTCAACAGTGTAGTGCACAAAAAACCTAGGTTGTGTTTCTATTCCTCCAGGTGAACTGTCTGTGATTGACTACACCTCCCCATGTGCATAAACACTACTGTAAGTACAGTAATTGTCAATTTTATCTAAAACTCAATTTTTAATAATATAATTGTACTCTTAAACTTGAATTCCCAAATCCATAAAGACATTTACATGTTATATTAAAAATGCTCTTTTGAACGTTCTATTCATAAAATAATCTTGAAAAAATTGAATTATTTTCAACATTGATAATAATGAGATTTTTTTTCTTGAGCACCAAATCAGCATTTTAGAATGATGTATAAAGGACATATATGAATGTTATATTATGATATAACTAGATATGTTATGTTGCTTGATAAAAGGTTGATTGACATGATGATTGGCGATGATCTGAAGTGCTAACGGCTGAAGAACCGTACACTGGAATATATGGCGAGACAGATTTAATACTGACACTTTGTGTTTTTTGTCACTTGTAAAACCTTACTGTTTTCTTAAATCAAAAATAATGCATTTCTGCATTCTGCACTTTAGTTGCTATTAAACTATTTGTTTAATAAACCATTGCTGCATCAGAAACATTTGTGTCCTGTTATTATTTATTATCTAGATTTATTATTACTGTACATATGCAAATGTCTGGATCTTAAAAGAATAAGCTATACCTAATATTATTGCATATTAGTCAAATATTAAATCCTAATTTCAGGTTTGAAACCTTTCCCAACCCAATTATGTATTTAGTAAAAAATGCACACATTTGCCAATTGCAGATGTTTACAATAGTATGTCAGTTTTCCTGTCTGTAATCCAAAACATCACATTTCAAAGCACTTGATATTTTAGTAGAACTGATATGTTGGTGTGGATAGATTCAACTCTTCTATTGGTTCAGTAACTGAAGTTTTAAACAACATTGTATCGCCAACACATGAAAGCTGCTTTCAGACTTTTTGTTTGCTGTTGTAACACCCAATGATATCTGTATACTGTTCCCCCCTTGAGTGTTTAAAAGTAGCACAGTCTAAAACAGTTTCCAAACCACTCAGATGCTTGATATCTCTGCTTAGCAAAAATAATTCATCTTTTAAAACGCCTGTTAACTTCAGTAATATCATGTTAGAATGCTAATTGAGAATATTCTCCTACTGCTGCCCACTAAAGCGGTGTCAGTTTCACAGCGTTCCAGGAATTACCAAATAATTTCAGTAAACGATCTCAACAAATTGCATCAGCAAACAACTGACTTCAGAGAGACTAAAGTGAACAGTACACCCCAAACAGTTCAATATGTATTGCCTACATATTGCTCAAAGACTGTACTGATACTTACTAGAATTCAAACTGAGAAGTTAAGAGAGATTTTTTAGGGCTGCCTTTCAGCTGTATATTTAGTGATAACCATTATTTGAAAGGCAGTTTTCCCGTATTTAGTGTTGAAATGATTAGAAATTTCAAGTTAAAATATGTATTTGAAATAGTTTTTAGGGCTACCGTACAGCAAATTGCTCCGTATTTAGTAATAACCACTATTTGAAAGGCAGTTTTCACCTAATATCTAGCGTTAAAATGATCATAAATTCCAAGACAAAATATAACAGCGAGAAAACATGCATTTTGTTAAACGTGCACAAAAACAACTTAAATCGGAGCAGAAAGTCTTACATTTATAAAGTCATTAAATGTTGCATGCACTGGAAAAAAAAATGAGTATGCATGTTTTCCAATACAAATATCTAAACATCCTTAAATTAAAATACATTTACTTGAGATGTTTTCTGAGAATTGGAATAGAATCAAATGAGTTTATGCTTAAAACAAGAATAGATATCTGATATGTATTAAAACTCTTTTTCCCTTTGAACTAAGTTCATTTTTCTGAGCCCATTGGATCTTTGTTCTCAGAAAACAAGACTTCTTATGTCATTTGGCTCCTAAAGTAAATGTATCTTGATTTCAGAAAATTTAGACATTTGCATTTACTTTCATAAAACCTGCAGAGACCCTGAAAAGAACCAAGACAACTAAACTTTGTGTAAACACACCCTCAAAGAGTATGCAATATTTTAAGTATTTTTACACACTGCCAGCAGCATATTGTACTTCTAAGATATGGCTTTAAGTGATTTATTTCAAGATTCATTTATGAAACTGTTTAACTAGGGTGTTGTCCAACCAAAACAAACTTGGTCTCCAAACTTTCTTGGGTCAACCTTATCGTAGCCCTTCTTAGCAGTAGGTTTTTAATTTAGCATGCTGCTCTCTTATCTGGTGTCATGAAAACAACACAGTAGCTATGATGCAAGACTTCTGCTTGCGTTGCAGTGTTAATTACAGCAGTGAGGGTTACTTGCCCTTTTACATCTGAAGTCCGAGTTTAGTTGTGACCTCTGAGCTACAGTCTTTTCCATGTTTATGTGTTAGCATGGATTATAATTAGGCAAATAAACACAAAAACACCATGAAAAAGGAAAACCGTGAGTGTATTTATGTTCAACATTTTACAACACTGTTTTCACCTAGTTCTGTGATAGTACTCAAGACATCTTGCACGTATAATGAAGACTAATTATTCGTGTTGATTTAAATTCTCTGTAGATTTCATTTGAACACACAGTTTGGTTTCGGGAGAAAGCAGAACACGTTGGTCATTTTTAACAGTGTCGTAGCATAAATAAACATTTTGTTTTCCCCAAATTAACACAAGGCCTGTAAAACATCAATAAAACTTGAACAGCTACTAAACCCTTTGAATAGCTTCTTAAATTGTATTAAAGCAGTATCGGACTGATTTAAATAGGTCACTTTTTTTTAATTACAGTACGTGTCTGTTCACAATCTCTTAGAACAGTAAAACCCACTATGTATCATATGGAATAAAGGTGCGGTCACATTTATTGTTGCTCTGTGAATTTTTGCAGGCGAAATCCAGTCATTTTGATAGGAATCCACATGTTCTGGAATTTCGTGTGACGGCGAAAGATTTCCCTGCCCAGATTTCGCAACAGGTTCAGCTGGTCATGTGAGTTCAGCCAACATAAAGCTGCTTGGTTTAAAAAAAAGACTTCCGTGCGAGCTGTGCTTAATGCATCGCTACACTATAGACAATAAACATTTGACCTCTTTTGCCTTTAAAAATTTTGCAATTTTTTTTGCCAGTTTTCGCTAATTTACTGATGTTTAGCAAATGTTTGCAGACAAAATCCAGTCATTTCCAATAGGCACCCATGTATTTGGGAATTTCGCATGACAATGAAAAGATTTCTCATTCAGTTTTCGCCACGGGTTCAGATGGTCACATGAATTCAACCAACATAATGCTTCCTGGTTTGACTTCCGTGTGAGCTGTACTTCATGCATCACTACACTATTGACAGCCTACGCAATTTTCACAAACTTTTCACTAATTTACTGTTGGTCAATGAATTTTGGCAGGCGAATTTCAATAGGCATCAGTGTAGTTGGGAATTTCGCATGATGGCGAGAGGTTTCCCAATGCAGATGTCGAAACTGATTCAAGTCGGCTAAGTACATTCACCGTGCTGACCAACACCGCTACACTACTGACAGTAGACAATTGACATTTTTTTTCCCCCTGTGTAATTTTCACAAAATTTGCACTAATTTGCTATTGTTCTGTGGATTTTCGCTGGTGAAATCCAGGCGAATTTGAATAGGCATCCATGCAATCTGGAATTTCGACGATGACAATAGAATTTCCAAAGCAGATTTCTAAACCGATTCAAATTCGCTGCATTGAAAGCCGGAAAACTTGCTTGTTTTGAACGTGACTTCTGTGTGAGCTGTGCTTCATACATCACTATACAATTGACAATCGACATTTTTTACTCTCAAAATTTCATTAATGTGGCCGCACCTTAAGACAGTGATTCCAGCTACAGTATTTTTCACTAGTGTAACATTTCAGATACTAAAAGTGACAAATATGGGTCATTATCAAGGCACTGCATGATTATGATGTTGTTTCTTTTTCTCCTGTTTGTGGCAATAATTCCAAACTCTCGTAGGCTGGCAGTGATAGGTGATGGCTGCCTCCCTAGGGAGTCGAATCACAAGATCAAGTTGTCAGGACTTGGCAAATAGACTTTACTGTTGTATGTAGTGTGTGTGTGTGTGTGTGTGTGTGTGTGTGGTTCTGCATCTAAAAGAATGAGCTGGGAACACAGAGACACAGTGGGATGAAGTTGGACAGGAGTCGCTAATGTCCCTCTACAATAAATATAGACTCCTGAGCTGGTAGGTGAGCTTTGGTGAATCAAGCCTTTGTTTCTGTGATATCGGATCTTTAAATGTGAATGTAATGCTCCATTTAATTTAAAACATCATTTAAATGTACTGCAGTTCATTTATATCCTCTAGTCATTCCGTGTCAGTCAATCCCATCAAGTATGCAACGCAATACTATTCCAGAATGGCTTGATGACATTTGGCATTTTTCCCATTACGTTTGAAAATTGAATTTGAAAACTTTACAAATGAAAGTCATGTTTCTGCGCATCCAGACAACATAAACTAAACTGCAACTGAAAAATATCTCTGACAGCAAAAAGGCATTTTCGTCGATGGTGAGTGAGCCACCACCTGCAGGTTTGGTTCACCGGGTCTTTTCGTCTTTTCCCTTTTTCAATCCAGGCAGACGTGGAAAGCCTCTGGTGATATCTGTCTGTGCATCTGAGTGAATATATAACATCTTCAGGAAACTCAAGAAGAAGAAAAAAAGGAAGTAACAAAATTAAGTTTTTCCTCTTGTTGGGAACAACAGGTCTGGGTCATTTGAAGTCTCCCTGCCGAATGGTTTCCGTATTATTCCGTATAGTGGGTTTTGTCTCAGTTCATGAACTGCGTGTAGCCCTCGGCTCCTGTCACTATCACATCCATCCATATCCTCATGGCCTCTGCGGATGGGGCCACCATGTAATACAGTCTGTCGTGGGTCTTCACGCAGAAGGTCAGGGAGGGGTTGGGGCTCTGCGATCAAAAAGACACACTCAGATCAGTGAGGGTGCCACGTATGGAGTCTCTCTACTACCCAGTTATTGAGGCATATGCATTATCTCATATTTAGCCATTAGGGGAAGTTTTACAAATTGATTTTAATTGAAATACAATTAATTAATCACACATGTAGGACGCCATATACCACATGCACTATTTCAACTACAATTAAAACCACTATACAAATAGATATAATTTAAAGAAATAAATAAACCTAAGAAATGCACTGCTTTTTTTGTTCTGTATTTCAATGCATTTAAATTTAAAATGAATCCAACTGGTATATTTTAATTTAATATAGTTTCATAATTTTCCAAGCATTATTAATAATGTGTATGGCTACTGCGGCTAAAATGATTTTGCCTGTACAATTTATTGTGTGAATCATATCATTTGCAAGACATTATAATAAAGTTAAAATAGTCTTATTTCTAATCTTATAATATATTAGTTTTATTTATGTTTATACTTTATAATGCAAATATTTAATAACTACAGTCAACTAGTCAAACTACATTTAAAGTGATTATGCTAAATATAATAATAATAAATTAAACATTAGATATTTAAACTATGGATCCTAATGAATATAATAATAAATACATGTAATAATATGCTAATAAATAAATATAAGAAATGTGCTATTATTATAAGTACTTTAATGCATATATTTAGTATGAATCCAATTGGTATAGTTTAATATAATTTTCTAATTTGAAAAGTATTAATAATTATAACAACGTGCATGGATAATGCACACATTTTATTATGTGGTTCATGTAATATTTCAGACCTTATATACACATGTTTCATATAATATTTTAGATTGGATTTTGAACTTAAGTTAATGTTTGATGTAGTAAAATTGATGTTTTTTGTAATGTTGTAGATATTTCTAAATATCTATAATGGCTTCATGCTGTCGGTATTCAATCATTTATCACACTGTGGTCAGCATGTTTATTCTTATTACTTTGATGTCAACAATAAAAAAAAAAAGATGGGAAATGTTTTATCCTCTTTTTTAAATGTTGATAAGTTTACTTAACTCAGCTTGTTCTCACATTATACTTGAACACACTATTATTGTAAATGTGCACGATTACTTTGAACATGTTTTATAAGCTCCTACGTCGCATGCGGCACAAGCAACAGCGTGCACTCAGTTTGCACATTTCCCAGATGATTACCGAATTCTCTTGAGCTAAAGTGGATTAATCGAAAGTCATTCCACTTAATTAATAACAAAGTATTAATTATTAGCACCTCTAATTTTAATACAGATGTTGAGCAGGAGGTGCTTGTTAAAATGTTATAATTAGTTCTCCTCACCAAAACACTCATTGTTGAAGAGCACTCCATTCATGCAATGTGCAAACAAATCTCTTCAAATGATTCTGACACTGTCAAAGAGTAAATTACGTTACGGCTTCCTGTTAACCTATTACATTATACAGCATGAAGCTGATGGCGTATAATATACCACACAACTGCTTCTGTGGGGCTATTACGTTATACACACACTTAGTATCTCACCACAGGTGGGAGTAGTAAAGAAACACTTAAGGGAAACGCATACAGGTCAATTACATTATACTCTCATCCTCAGTAACTGCACAAAAAATATCCACTGAAGGTGCAAGTAGTCCAGTTATTCAAAACAATAGAAGACGAGGTATGTTAATAAGTCACAAGGGAGTAAGTGTGTGAAAAATGCACGGATTAGAGCAATTTCCTCTAAGCAAACATGCAGGATAGGGTGATAGTGGTGAAGAGCGATACGTACGTTTGTCAAATTCAGATTGAAAAATCCTTTCTGTGAAAACAGTCGGCAAAGCAAAAGAATGAAGCAAAAGAAGGGTGGGGAATATTGACAGCAGAGTTACAGCATAAGAGACAAAAGAGAAGAAAGAAGCTAACAGAAAAAGATCAAATGAAATGGTGCAACAGGAGTGCAGAGCAGAAAAACAGCGGGAGATGTGAGCTGTGCTTATATGAGGGGTTTTTATCCGATAGGGGCTCGTACCTTTGTGGCACTGCGCAGGTGATCATAGTAAACCTCCTCGATAGCCTGGAAGTAGATGACGCCCTTCAATTTGCTCTCATGTTTATCTGCGGATGGGAGAAACAGAGATGTCACCCTGCGAAAAATCGTTCTCTTAATAAGTATTTTATTGCAATGTTTTTGTTTAAAAACATCATAAGACGAATTAACTCGAATATGTTCCCCAAAAACACGCGTTTCCAATTTTTTTTACTGGAAAACAAGACAAAACTACTGATTAACATGTTTTGCACAGCGATGGTTTCAAAAACAAATAAGCCCCCACTCCCCTGGAGAATAATGATCTGGTAAGCACCGATGTGACCTTGTTACTGCGGTGCAACCCCTTCATTTTCAGTCCGCGTAGAAATAAAGAGCGAGAGCTCACGCTTTGCCGAGCACCACGGCTGGGTGATGAGCACGATTTCCTCAGCATTGCGGCAGATTTCATCACCATCAGATAGCATGCGGACGGGCTTCTGGTTATTTGTATGCCCCTAGCTAACCCGAGGCTATCGGAAATCATGGCAGCCACTGTGAGCTTAAGAATTACTAATTATCCGTATCCCCCCACTGCTGGATTCACCCACAATCCACTCTTTGTTCTGCCCTCATTTCTTTCCCCAACCTCAGGGCGACAAAAGCATAACGACACGTTTGCGGAGCGGCATTAGCATAGTGCACAGTAAGGAGGATGTTGGAAGGCGACGCTGCGGTACACATACCGGCGTAGTAGGAAAACGTCCTTTTAAGGCGATCAAAGACGAACCAGCGCTTCTTCCAGGATTTGATCTTTCCTCCCATCTTGACAAGATAGCCCTTGCACATCTTTTCGGTGAGAATCATGTGGTAGCACATGTCCACGCTGTGACCTGAAGACTCGATGTGGGAACGGAGGTCAAACTCCTCTTTGCGAATGGGCAGGTATCGGGTCATCGGGCGGGCCTGGAAATCAACAACATGTGGTTAAAGGGGTCCTATTATGCTCTTTTACAAAGTCTTGATTTTGTTTTGGGGGTGTACTAGAACAGGTTCTCATACTAGGTTGTTCGAAAAACACATTATTTTTCACATATTTTACATTATTACAACACCTCTCTCCCCAGTCTGGCATGAACGCCTCGAATAGTTCCTGTATCAAATAAAGGCCCGCCTTCTGAAATACGAAATGTGCTGTGATTGGTTAGCTGGGCCAGTGTGTGTTGTGATTGGCAAGCACTCGGCGCCTGGTCGGGAAATGTCATGCCCCTTACCATAGCCACCTGCGAGCTTCAGTGTAAATATTGCATCAAAATCAAATCAATTTGAGTGTGATTTAAACCCGGATGATTGTAACCACTCTAAGTTCGTCTGCCTTGGGGAAAGCTAGCATGTCTCCGACATAGTGATAACACTCGTTGCCTTCTATAGTGCAGCTCAACCAGGTCTCGACCCATTCGTCGATATTTGTGATATCACAAATCCCGGAAAATACGTATTGTAGTCCAAACGAGTCGTTGTAGTTTTTGAAAAGTGATTTCTGTTAAATAAAATAACTCATTTTGAAGTGGACTTTGAGCTTTGTAACTTTGCAGATCTTTTTTATGCTCAAACAGCAACATTACAGACTAACTCAAGTTGAATAAGTGAAAAAGCATAACAGGACCCCTTTAATGTTTTGGTTATTTAAGGATTGATTACATTATTTTTTTTGTCCTATCAATTTATTATAAATTTCTTAAAAAATGTACTTCATACATAAAATTATTTGAACTCACATCTTCCATGAGGAACATGTTTTTAATTTCTGAAAATATATGAATTTTTTTTTTTTTATACAAATAAATAAATAAATAAATATATATATATATATATATGTATATATTTATATATAAAAATGTCGGAGTGATACAACTGTCTTGATAACATAATAAAAAAAAGGATCATTAAATTCATGAAATTATTCATACTAAAACCTTAAGTAGTTTGTATCATTTATTATTATTTATCATTAAAAAAAAAAAAAAACATAAAAAATGTTACTGCTTATTAATGTCTGAAAAACTTTTGGCGGCCAAATCAATTAAGTGGTATAACCAACATGCAGAAACAGAAAAAGAAAAAAAACCAGATCCTCATGATAACTATTTGACATGATAATTTTATTGACAGTTCAGATTGTAAAAGTGATGGGAATTCCAGCTCTTTTTAGGGATCCGGATCATTTGGCTCAGCTAAGCAAAAAGAACCGACTCTTTCGGCTCCCAAATGGCTCTTTATTTAGTACCCCCTCTGGCTTTTATAATTCAGCCCAATTTCTCAATGTTTTGACCTATGTCTGGTATGTGTACACAAATATAATTAAACTATTCAATGTAATTAAACTAAACTATTAAAAAAAAAAAAAATTAATTATAAAATGCCACATAATATTCAGTTTTGTTAATTCACACTATAATTCAGATTTTCACGATTCAAATTCAAATTGTTTTGTCATATTTCTGGTTCCATAAACCTTTCCAAAATACCATAATTTTACATATTTTTTTTGGCATAAAAACCAAAAACGTAATTTATGTAAGAACATAAAACCGAGCGCTTGATCTGGGAAACATCTGTAGAAACATCTGATAAATGTCTTAGAAAAAGCAGATTTACATACATTCTAAATCATAAACATCTTCAAAACATCTATTTAACATCTGATAGGAAACGTCTTAGAGACATATTGCAGATGAACTAAAAAATACAAATCTAAAAAATACATCTTGCAGATGTAAATGCAGACATTAAAGGGGTCATATGACGTTGCTAAAAAGAACATTATGTTGTGTATTTGGTGTAATGAAATGCATTTATGTGGTTTAAGGTAAAAAAACCCACATTATTTTCCACATACTGTACATTATTGTTTCTCCTCTATGCCCAGTCTTTCTGAAACGCGTCGATTTTTACAAAGCTCATCGGTCTGAACAGCGAGGTGTGCTCTCATTGGCCAGCTATCCAGTGCGTTGTGATTGGCCGGATACCTCAAGCGTGTGACGGAAATATTACAAAGCAAAGGTTCTACAAAGCATGTGCAAACTTGTGATCGCAACTGTATAATATCTATCTATCTATCTATCTATCTATCTATCTATATATATATATATCAAAGTAAAATTTATATTTCTATATTTCAAGGTTTAAATTAAATTCCTAATGAAAATTATTAAAATAAAATTTCTAATTAAATTAAAAACGAATGACTATGCAATTAAATTAAATTATTTTTTAAATTAAAATTAAACTGTAATTTAAAAGTGTAAAGCTTTTCTTTAAAAGGGTATAAAAAATTTCATAACCATACGAAGCCTACATGAATACAAAGAGTACATCTTTAAGAACCATAACCCATAAATATTTGTACAAAATGAATCCATTAAATTGACAGTCCTAGTAGAATCACTATGGGCTTCTGGCACAGATCTGCGACTCCTCACCTGAGAGAAGTTTCTGGCCCTCATCTTCACCTCCTTCTCTATCAGCTGCTGTCTATGTATCGTCTCCTCCTGCAGTCTCTTCTCCGCCTCCTCTCTTCTTCTTCTCTCCTCCTCTAGCATGAGTTTACGGGTCTGAGTCTCTCGTTCCTGCAGCCAAAAGAGGGCAGATGTTATTAGACAAGGCTAGGAGGCAAAAAAGCTGAATATGGTTACTGTATTGATTGTATACTGAAATTATGACTTACTCTGGACTCTATGAGTCGAGCTTTCTCCAGTTGTGCCTCTTTCAACATCTTCTCCATCTCCTCAATCTTCAACGCGTCCATACCACTGGCACTGTGAAACACATAAAACTTCAGTCAAAGTCAATAACTATATGTTTTTGAACCAAGACAGACAGCAAACATTTAAATACTCAATCGAAAGTTGCGCAACCGTTCAGTGATTTTACCCCTCGGTGATCTATTTGGTGAATGATGGAATAGAGACCAGTAGCGGTGAGACCGGTGGATTACGAAACATTTCGTCATATATGAAAATACAACTGGATTGCACATACAGTACAAGCATGAAAATCTGCCGTGAAACATGAAATGAAGCACATGTGGACTATAAACATAGAAAAAGAAAATGAGTAATGGATTCCTCTAGAGAAGAGTCCCAGACTAGCTTGAAGCTTTATAAAGACAAGAGTAAACAAACTGTATGAGAACATTTCAAGTAAACAATTTCTCTCCTGAGAGAGAAACAGCTGAAGGCCATCTGTTTACAAAGCTGCCATGCTTCAGTCCAGCTCCACTGCTCCACCGCTTCACTGTACTTTACAGGCTTTTGTTTACAACATCTTCACACATTCCCCATGATTACGCTTGTAACTGAAGACAACATGTCAGTGTCAAACTGGGTTGTGTCCCATTCAGAACTGAAATGAGAATGTCTTTGAAATTCAATTTCTGAATCCAGATTTGAATTTAAGAATATTTGAATCTAAAGTGAAATGGAATGACATTCAAATAAATTAATATTATGGCTGTGAGTGTAGTTTTTAATAATACACTTCTGTTCAAATGTTTGGGGTTAGTGATATATTTTTACTTTTTTATTTTTAAGAAATTAATACTTTTATTTGGCAAGGATGCATTAAATTCATTAAAAGTGACATTTATACTTATTTAGACATTTTTAATGTTACAGAATATTTCTTTTTAAAATAAACACTGTTTATTTGACTTTCTATTCATCAAAGAATCCTTAAATAATCTAGCATGGTTTCCACAACTGTTTGTAATATTGATAATAAAAATGTTTCTTGAGCAGCAAATCAGCATATTAGAATAATTTCTGAAGGATCATGTGACACTGAAGACTGGAGTAATGGCTGCTGAAAATTCAGCTTTGCATCACAGGAATAAAATATATTAAAATAGAAAACACTTATTTTAAATTGCAATAATATTTCACATTATTACTGTTTTACTGTGCATTTGAACACATGAATGCAGCCTTTATGAGCATAACTGTATTTTTCATTAAAACAAACTCTGACCATCATGAGCATAAGAAACTTCTTTCAAAAACATTTTAAAATCTCTTAAACGCAAACTTTTGAATGGCAGAGTACACTTCATTTTTCAGTATGACTATGAGTTATTAAACATACGTATATTACATTAAGCAATTCCAGAACATTATGTCAATAATTAATATTAATAATCAATAAATGAAAATGTAGATTAATTTTCTATATATGCATATACATACTATTTCATTATGTTTAGTAACTGAACTTTCATTTTGTGAACTCTGATGCACTTTATCCCCAACATTTCCCAGAATGCTCTAATTTACCCCAAAGTCTTTAAAATGGAGACAAACAATACAAAGCAGGCTTACCGTATAAATTATACATTTTTTTGTGTGTAGAAGAAAATCTGTTATGTGACTGTACTGAAATTCTTTGAACCACAATTAAGTGCATTTCTCTTCCTGTCATTCCAAATCAAATTCCACTCCAACATGCTCTGCAGCATGACCAATTCAATTCAAATCTACACTCATGAACTGAATTCTGAATTTCACTCAGCCCTGGTGTCACGTGTTGGTATTTGCACCTCATTGATTTCCACAACCTATAATTCCTTTCTCCTTTCTCCTCCTCATCTGTTATTCATAAATGTCAAATTCTGATGAAAGTATAACAGGACACTTAACTGCCATATGTACGTATAGTTTACACAAGTACAATGGATTATTCGTATATGCAGAGAGAGGGATGGTGAAAAGCAGAGACAAAAAAGTGGGCGCTCATTTATGACAGGAAGGGTGGATAAGCAAACAATAAAACTTCAGGCATTTGTTTATGGAAGACGCCTTTTCGACTGTTGACATTTTTGCAAGCCCAATTAGTCCTATGTGTGCTCTGACTGTCCCTGTTAAGTGGAAACTGAACAGACAACCATTTCAACAGAGCCTGTTTTACCCAGCAACAACCTACAAGCTTAAAGACGTGTCTTCACGCAGTCCGTTTAACCCAGAAACAACCTAATCTGTAGCCTCACGCATCAAAGCCGTTCATTTGTTCTTTTCTTTTGTCAGGAAAGGGGGCGGGATGAAGCACAGCTGCTGCATTCTGATTCACAGAGTTACTACATGCATGTGAATTTATCTAAAATATACATTATTTTACACATTTTCACATGGACATAATATAATATAAATGTATAATAACAGACAGTAACACATTATATTAATTTAAATATAAACATTATTATATAAATATTATTTATTATATAAAATTACAATATATATTACAGTTCAAACTGTTTGGGACCCGTTGTCACACCCCTGTGGACTGTCTTGTATGGTTTCTCCCTCTGTGTCCTTATTTGGTTGTTCCTGTTCTCATTATTAGTTAATCACCTCATTGTGCTCACCTGTCTGCCCCTCGTTATCCCCCTTATATCAGTTCCTGTCCATTGTATTCCAGTTTGTTAGTTATTGTGAATGTTACCCTGTGTGTGTGCTCCTACCCTCTGGTAAAGGTATTAAAGGTTTCTGGTCTCCTTCATCTTCGTAGTCCTGCCTGTTCTCTGGCACAGCCATAACGTGACCGAATAACTGACCAAAACAAACGAGATGTCAATGGATGAAGACAGGCTTTGGTGTCTGCGGCAGGGTGGTCGGGATTTGGAGAGGTATGTGGAGGAGTTCCTAGAGCTCTCTCACCAGGTGAGCTGGTTGGATTCTGTCCTCGGGGTCTGTTTTCGGCTGGGGCTGGATGATGACGTTATCAGCGGTGCGGTTCCCACGTATAGCTTTCCCCTGATCGAGCTGGTTAATCAGGTCCGGTATCTGAATGGCGTTAATCTGGAGGTAGAAGTTGGTCTTCCTGAGTCGAGTCTAATCACAGCTGATAGTCATGAGTCTAGTCAGATCTCAGCTGATCATCCAGAGTCACATCACATGACGTCTGGTTGCTCTAAATCCTGTCACTTCCTGTCTGTTTCACCCAGATCTAGGACTTTTCGGCTGTATCCCAGACTGGCTTCCAGCGTGGAGGACCCACCGCTGGTGTCGGCACGGGCAGCTGGCATCCCGAAACCAGCGCTCTCAAGCCCGCCAGCCTCTGTCACGAATCCAGTCCCTCCGAAAACCACCCCGCGGCACCAGCTCACCCCTCGCCCAGACCCTCCACATACCCATCCAAAGGTTCCAGTTACCCATCTCATCCCAGCACCGTCTCTGTCCTCAGCCCAGAAGTGCGGGCTGTTCCCGAGTTAAGCCCAGGGGGGCCCCCGGATCCCCAGCCCAGGGGGGCCCCCGGATCCCCAGCCCAGCCCAGGGGGGGCCCCGGATCCCCAGCCCAGGGGGGGCCCCGGATCCCCAGCCCAGGAGGGGCCCCGGATCCCCAGTTCAGCCCAGGAAGAGCTCCAGCCCCAGAGCTCGCTCCCGTGTCGGCTCCAGCCCCAGAGCTCGCTCCCGTGTCGGCTCCAGCCCCAGAGCTCGCTCCCGTGTCGGCTCCTCCAGAGCGACCCCCCCCCAGGATTCTGGAATTTCCAAGAAGATTTTGGGGGGGACGGGGACATACACCCGTGGCCGAGCCAGCCAAGGCCACGGAGGATCTACCACGGCCTCCCGAGGTCCCCTGCTCCGCCGTGGCCTCCCGAGGTCCCCTCCAGCCCCAGAGCTCGCTCCCGTGTCGGCTCCAGCCCCAGAGCTCGCTCCCGTGTCGGCTCCAGCCCCAGAGCTCGCTCCCGTGTCGGCTCCAGCCCCAGAGCTCGCTCCCGTGTCGGCTCCAGCCCCAGAGCTCGCTCCCGTGTCGGCTCCAGCCCCAGAGCTCGCTCCCGTGTCGGCTCCAGCCCCAGAGCTCGCTCCCGTGTCGGCTCCAGCCCCAGAGCTCGCTCCCGTGTCGGCTCCAGCCCCAGAGCTCGCTCCCGTGTCGGCTCCAGCCCCAGAGCTCGCTCCCGTGTCGGCTCCAGCCCCAGAGCTCGCTCCCGTGTCGGCTCCAGCCCCAGAGCTCGCTCCCGTGTCGGCTCCAGCCCCAGAGCTCGCTCCCGTGTCGGCTCCAGCCCCAGAGCTCGCTCCCGTGTCGGCTCCTCCAGAGCGACCCCCCCCCAGGATTCTGGAATTTCCAAGAAGATTTTGGGGGGGACGGGGACATACACCCGTGGCCGAGCCAGCCAAGGCCACGGAGGATCTACCACGGCCGCCCGAGGCCCCTGATCCACAGCGGGCCCCCGAGGTCCCTGATCCACCGCGGGCCCTCGAGTATCCGGCTCCGCCATGGTTCCCGGATCCCCCCCTCCCCTATGATACGGTTATGGCGCGGGTCGCGCCTTCCGGGAGGCGATCTGTCACACCCCTGTGGACTGTCTTGTATGGTTTCTCCCTCTGTGTCCTTATTTGGTTGTTCCTGTTCTCATTATTAGTTAATCACCTCATTGTGCTCACCTGTCTGCCCCTCGTTATCCACCTTATATCAGTTCCTGTCCATTGTGTTCCAGTTTGTTAGTTGTGAATGTGACCCTGTGCGTGTGCTCCTACCCTCTCGTGTATTCATTAAAGTGTTCTTGCGTCCTTCATCCTCGTTGTCCTGCCTGTTCCCTGGCACAGCCACAACGTGACACCCGTAGGATTTTTAAAAATGTTTTTGAAAGTAATGGCACTATGAATTACCTTAGAATTAAGAATAAAAAATTATAATATTTAACCAGACAATACATAGTGTTACATTAAAATAAAACAAATATTTTACAGAACATCAGTCAAATGTATGAAATAATTTTTTTTTTTTTTTAAATAAGTCTTTTATGCTCCTAAAGGCTGCATTCATGTGTTCAAATATACAGTAATATTGTGAAATATTACAATTTAAAATGTTTTTATATCAATATTTGAACATTTATTTCTGAGATGACAAGTGAATTTTTAAAGCTAAAAATTTAAAATCGAAATTTTAAATGTCTTACCGTCACTTTAATTGAATACGTCCTTACTGACTTAACTTTTGAACAGTAGCGTTTATTATAATTTTATATAAGATGTATATTAAAAATACTTTTTATTGATATATTTAATGTAATATCATTTGTCATACTCAAAGCCCTCACAATTACTGATAAATGCCATGTTTAAAATAAAGGAGTAAATAAATCTAATTTACACTAAAGTGTCACTTTAGATAGCCGATCACCCTATGAAGTCCACTTTGAAGGCATTATTGGGCAAATTGGATCCTACTCAGTAAAAGCCATTAAGCAGATGGTTGATCATTTAGCTTGGGACAGGCATGTGGAGAGAGACCACAGAGCTGCCGCCACTAATTCCTGTCACAGAGTCATTGGTTAAGCACTCAGAGAAAGTGATTTAGGAAAGCACATGGAAATGTCGAACCTGGACATGTTGTCAGGAGAGCAGGCAGAGTTGTTTCCAGTGGAGATGCTTGTGTCCATGCTGTCCGAGCTCTCCAGGCTGAGGGTGTCATAAGGCTGTTCCCCAGAAGAGGGTGCTGTGTGATGCAGGATGGAGTGGTGCACGACTGGCCCCAAGGTTGAAGAAAAGGGACTGTTGATCTGCGTTTGAGAGCCATGTAGCGCCTCCCACTGGCACTGAGCCTCTACTGCAGCTTTCTGCTTCAGCTCGGCCAAACGCCTCCGCTGCTCATCAATCACTTGCTGGCCTGATGTAGATAAAAAGCATATATGAAAGTCAAATCCACAAATAGGATATGCAGTGAACTAAATGTGTCCAAAACTGAACAAGCTAAGCATTTTATAGGTCAAATATAGCTGCCAAACCCTCTATTAGACTACAAAGTGCTTTGAAACCCAAGTGACTGCACATCCATTTAGGATGGCATAGTTTGCCCATAATTTGCTCCATCATGCCTCGCACATACACATATAAATATGCAACGTATGTGCGCTGAATAAACAGCCCAAGCAATACCTCTAAATCAAGATTCCTTTGTACGCTACCAGTCAAAACTCCACTACTCATTCTTTATTATATTTTTGAAAAGTATTGGAATTATGTTAACATTAATAAAATTAAAAATTAAAATTAATTTAAAAAAATGAATGAAACTGATTAAACTAATTAAACATTTATGCTCCCTGCGATTTTAGATAACCGCAATAAAATTTAAAATAAAATAAAATATTCCCAGTGATTTGGGAATTATGTAGAAGTCATAAAAAGTTTACATATTAAAAATGAAAATTAAATATAAAAAAACGAATTAAACTGATCTTATATTAGAGATAAAATAAAATATTCCCCATGATTTGGGAATTATGTAGAAGTCACAAAACGTTTACATATTAAAAATGAAAATTAAATATAAAAATCGAATTAAACTGATCTTATATTAGAGATCAAATAAAATATTCCCCATGATTTGGGAATTATGTAGAAGTCACAAAACGTTTACATGTTAAAAATGAAGATTAAATATAAGTTAGGTACAATTAGGTATGATTTATATTTGCATAGAAAGTCATTTCAAAATATAATTAAAAAAATAATAATAAAATGCTCCCTGTGATTTGAGAATTTTATAGTAACCACAAAAATGTTAACAAATTAAAATCAAATGATTTAAAACTACAAGGTACAATTTATATTTGCATAAAAAGTCATTTCAAGCCTTTAAGTATAAGCCTTCATAAGGTCATAAGGTTTTGAGATCGCCACAAACAAATTCAGGTATGTATAGCTTTTGACTGGTAGTGCAGCTAAAGTGCTTTAAATATTTGAAACTACAAGATTATCACTGATATCATGACTCAATCCATGCACAGCTATGCCATCAGTGGAAAAAAAACTTGGTTAAAGAACATTTGGACACAGGCAAGACCGTTCCAATGGGGGTGGAAGTGCACAAAATGTTGAGTTAGAACTAATGAGGATGCTGATTACGATGAAGGGCAGTCCAATGCTACTTAGAGCGCGCTCTACCTGTGGGACTGTCCATACTGGAGGATGACTCAAACATGGAGGGCAAGAATTCTGTTTGAGGGCAAGGGACAACAAAAGATGATTGATTATCAAAAGTTAAAAGACAACTAAGGAAGACGCCCAAAGAAGAAACGGGCATCCCATGGTCACTATGAATATGGAAAATAAAACTGATGTGGTAATTAAAAAAAAAAAGCAAGCGGATTTGGAATGACATGAGGGTGAGTAAATAATTAAATTTTTGGTTGAGCAACTCCTTGAAGTTTGATGGCTTCAAACATTAGTTTAAAAAATTTTGATCTTACAAACAGCGCTGAAATGTCAGCTGTCAAGCTGCTGTGTTTCTCATTACCTTTCTGCTGAAGGGCCAGCTGCCTTTTGGTCTCAATGTCCTGCAGGGTGGCTGCCAGGTTGCGTGGGAGACTCCCGGTGCTGTTGGCTACCATCAGAGGACTCTGGGTAAATAAAACAAACTATTATTTCCACCAGCATATTTAACAATAAAGGGGGGAGATAAATTACTACGTTAAATGATGCAGGAGATTCTGATAACTGCACTATTTACCATGGCAGGGCTGTAAAAGAGAGAATTTACCCTGGCACGATGCTCACATAGTCTCAATGCAGTATTTACCCTGGCAGGAGTGTTGCGTCCCAGTGTAGCCGTAGTGTATGTGGGGGACAGACCAGCGCTGATTTTCGGTCTCAGTGATGATTGGCTTGCATCACTGTCCAGTCGAGAGCGGTACACCTGCAGGTCAGAATGATTCATTATGAGTCAAAGTATTGCTTTTTATTTTACTACTGTAAAACTGAGTTATTGTTTACATCAATAAACATAGTAACTCTAAGATTTAAAGTTGTAGTTCAACACAAAATTCAGTTCCCCTTCAGGAAATCACGCTCTGTCTGGACGCTTAAGGAACGCCTCTGCGTGACCACGTTCTGAAGCATGTGTGAAATCAAATGGAATGGTGAGACGTCATAGGCTGGATGACGTAGCGACCATGAAGCTTAAAAGCATGTGCGGTGGAAACAGTGTCCGCTTCTGTTTCTTCAGTAAGCACTCTGTGTCTCTGTCTGTCTTGAGGACTTGTGTTGTGCCTGTGGGCTGACTGTCCTCTTTGGGAGCGGCTCTAGCTACATACATTCCGCTCCGCTCCCGCCGGGTGCTCTTCAAGGAGGGCGCTTTGGTGAAAGTTCCTCGTGGCTTGGGTCCCCTTCTGCCAACTCAGAGCGGCGGCTGCGGTCATGGGGATCACAAATGAATCTGGTGGAGATCTAGTGCTCTTTCTCAGGGATCGGAAGCACGCTCAGCAGTTTCTTCCCCCCGGGGACAGGGCTTGATGCTCCACCTGTCTTCCTGAAGAGGTTGATGTGGTGGGCGTCGACGAGGATGAGACTGTAGACTCGCCACCCCAGTCCATCCAGTACGAGGAGCTGCTGGAGGTAAGGATTTGGGTGGTGGCCAAGCTTAACATAAATTGGCCCGCCAAGAAACAGGATGAGCATCCTAAGAGCAAGTTGGACAAATCGGTTTTTCCCTGATCTTCACACCGATGTTTCTAGATCGTGGGGTAAACCTTTTTCAGCCTGCATCTTCAGCCATGCAGTGATGAATTATTCTAAAATCGTGGGGCAGAGGGAGCACGGCTATGGGGCGATGTCTCGAGTAGGGCAGACACTTGCAAGCTATCTGTCTATCTGTCTTAGGACATCTTTGGCTTTGGTGAGTAAAGCGTATATGGCGGCAGGTCAGGCTTGGGCTTGTCTGCACACCATGACAGTGTTGCAGGTTTACCAAGCCTTCCTGCTCAAGTACCTTTAATGAGGGTGAGGAGGTGAAGGTCGATGGCATTAAAGAACTGCATTGGGCCGCAGACTTGTCTCTCCAGGCTACCAAAGAGACAGCTACACCCATTGATCGGTCTATGGCAGCCTTGGTGGCTATGGAGAGGCATCTGTGGCTGAACCTGTCTGAGATTAAGGACAAGGCCAGGTTCTTCCTGCTGGACGCCCCACTTCCACCTACTGACCTGTTCGGCGGCGCAGATAATTCTGCCGTCAACAGGTTTCAGGAGGCCAAGAAGCAGGCGGCGGCGTTCCAGTGGTTCCTTCCTCGCCGCTCTCATGTCCTTGGGGCTGCTGGGTGGGAGCAGCCTGTACACCTGGTCATCTGCTTCAGGGCACCGAGTTGACTGTTTAAAGTACACCAGAGGTCTTGAGAGACTGATTCCCTTAGTAGACCATCTGGCAGCATGGAAATTTGCCAAACATGTCTCAATGGGTCCTGCTGACTGTAGAAAGAAGCTACAGAATCCAATTTGGTTCTCATTCGCTTCAGTTCAACTGGGTCATTCCCACTCTGGAGATGTTGGCCATGTTTCATGCACTGAAACACTTTCTCCCAGACCTAAGAGGCCATCATGTGCCTGTTCGCACAGACAACACATTGGTGGTCTCTTACATCAACCACCAGGGGGGTCTGCGTTCGTGTTCCCTATACAGGCTGGTGCATCAGATCTTTTTGTGGGCAAAGGGAAAACTCCTCTACTTGAGAGCAGGTTACATCCCTGGGCACCTCAATCAGGGAGCAGACATCCTGTCGAGGCAGGGGCCGAGGCCTGGGGAATGAATTCTGCACCCTGAGGTGGTGAAGCAGATATGGAGGGTGTTCGTACAGGCCCAAGTATACTTGTTTGCATCTCAAGAGACATTGTCCACTCTGATTCTACCTCACACATCCAGCTCCTCTGGGACTGGATGATATGGTACAAACATGGCCGAGGCTGCAACTGTATGCTTTTTCCCCGATTGCTCTGTCTGGTCCCAGGAGTTCTAGAGAGAGTGCACTGGGATGGGGTTCGTCTGCTACTAGTAGCCCCATTTTGGCCGGGCCGAGCATGGTTCTCGGACCTGGTGCCCCTTCTCGACGGCTCTCCTTGGGAGATTCCCATCAAGAGGGACCTCCTCTCTCAGGCAGGGGGGCTCCATCCTTCAAGTTATGGAAACTATGGGTGTGGCCCCTGAGGGGGCACAGCTCATAGCTTCCAGTCTATCAACTGAGGTTGTTGAGACCATATTCCAGTCCAGAGCTCCCTCCATGAGGACACTGAACTCCTTGAAGTGGAACCTTTTCCCTTCTTGGTGCGGCAACCGTTAGCTGGACCCAGTCAACTGCACGGTTGGTTCAGTGCTGGAGTTCCTGCAGGAACGGTTTACCGCAGGGTTAGCCCCCTCCACCCTGAAGGTGTATGTGGCAGCCATAGCTGCTTATCACACCCTATGGGTGGTAAGTCATTGGGGAGAAACATGCTGGTCCATCCTGCTTAAGTTTGTCAGGTTTTACAACCTCGACATTGGAGCCACTCCTGGTTCCTCTGTTCTCTCGTCCTAGCTGTGTAGTGTTCCACACTAGGCAGGGATTTGTAAGCATGGCGGAGTGGGTATTCTCGTTTCCAAAGCATCCAGACGCAGCGTGAGTTCCTGAAGGGGAACATTTCTAGGTTTTCATATGTAACCACGGTTCCCCAAGGGAATGAGACGCTGCGTCTCATTGCCATACTTCCTGCATCTCTGCAAACACTTCCTTCACTAATCAGAAGCTGACGCTGTTTCCACCGCACATGCTTTTAAGCTTCCTGGTCACTGCGTCATCCTGCCTATGACATCTTGCCATTCCACTGGACTGATTTCACACGTGCTTCAGAGCATGTGGCAACTTTAACATTTGAAAGGATACTATGGCAACGTTATCGCTTTCTTTATTCAAACTGATTTTCTTTTTCATGAATATATGGTTGACCTGAAGAATGAACGCTGTATCATACACTTGGAAAATTATGAGCTATATCACCGCTTATCAACACTAAGGGTGTGACAATACACTTAGTTCACGAGATGAGACAAAATACAGATACTTGGTTCACTAGAACGTGACAATATTTTAATACTTATTAATATTTTAATAAGAAATTTTCAATAACAAAATATTTGTCTTTTAATTACAAAAAGTAAAACAATGCAGTGTATTTAGAAATATTTTAACTAATCTAGGACTGTAACTAATAGTTATTTTGGTAATCAAGTAATCTACTGATTATTTTGACAACTGAGTAATCTGATATTTTTTAGTAACAAACAGACCTAAGTGAAAACCATGCTTTAGTATGACTATTTATATATAAACTAACGATGAGGCAATAATAATTGGCTCAAATAAAATATCAAAACCAAGAAATTACATGATTGTATTGAACAACACTGTTAAAATACATAATGTAATATGCCTATACATAATATGAACATAACCAACTTAAGTACATTATGTATTATAACAAATACCTGCAGAGGGCGCCAACGGCCTGGTGATGTTACACTTTAGAGCGTGACTAAACGATGTTTAAATCCATTTAATTTTAATATTTGGCCACATGCAAACTCAGAAACTTTTATTTTGAAATCGTGATGTACAATAAATGGCATATTTATAAATAGGTTGATGTATTCTCCTGTGTTGGCAAAGGTTTATAAATGATTTACGTTACAAATCTAGTGAGACAATGTACACTGTTTTTACAGATGAACGTTAAGCAATTCAAATTCACAGCATATGCAGAGGAAGAGTTTAGCCCCTTTCACACATACAGTCTTTACTGGTAAATTACCAGTAAGTTACCATTAAGAGATCATGTGTGAACAGGACCTTTTCAAAAATCCCGGTAAATTTGTTCTGCAATCATATCGTTCTTGTGGAGATGACATGATTACTCTGAGCTGTTTACAAATCTCAGCTGCTTTTTAATTAGTTACCTATGTAAATATGCGCTAGATGGACATCTTTGACCATTGCGCCTCGCAGCTTTTTGTCGCGCTTCTCCATTCATCAGGGCTGCGACTCCGCAATTGGATACTATTATGCGAGTCTCGTGTTTATAAGAGCAAAACATTCTGATTGGCTAGTAATGTTAGTTTGGTTGAGAGTGAAAGCTGTGCTCCTCTCATACCATTGGTAGGCAAACTCATGGACTCGAAAGTGACATCAATTAACCAACTTTTTTTTTTTTTTTAAATGTAGGATTATTTTTTTCCGCAGCCAAACGCTACACACCGGAGATCCGGCACGGTGCAGGAGAACTTTAAGCCCTGAATAATATATGCCTTGTGCCTTGATTTTAACACAAGAATATAAGGGCACTTTCTGTTGATACTACCATTCAAACTTTGGGGTAAATAGGCTTTTTTTAAATTTAATTAAATTAAATTTTTGTTTATGGAAATTCATTCTTTTATTTGTGAGGGATGCCGTAATTTGATCAAAATTGACAGTCATGAAATTTATAATGTAATAAAAAATTTCTATTTCAAATCAAAGCTGTTCTTTTGAACTTTCTATTCATCAAAGAATCTTGAATTTTTTTTTACCATGGTTTCCTCATAAATATTAATGCTGATAATAATAAGAAATGTTTCTTGAGCAGTTTTCTGAAGGATCATGTGACACTGAAGACTGGAGTAATGACTGCTGAAAAATTCATCTTCATCAACACAGCAATACAATACATTTTAAAATATATTAAAATAGAATACAATTATTTTAAATTGTATTAATATTTCACAATATTACTGTTTTTTCTGTGTTTTTAATCAAATAAATGCAGCCTTGGTGATAATAAGAGACTTCAAAAACATTTAAAATCTTGACGACCCCAACATTTTGAACAGTTTGCATAAAAGTTTAACACACTTTTG